GATTCAAATGGTGGGGGTTGCCTTGAAAACTAAAAGCAGAGTGGTATAGCAGGTAGACACTGAGGAGAGAAGTCCTCCTGAGAAGGGGCTGACATGAGCAAAAGTCCTGGGTGGGAGCAAGATGGTTGGCCTAGGAGCTCAGAACTAGAGGTTAGGGAGCAAGGGAAGGCAAAGTCCCTGGGAAATTTGTGTCTTCTCCTACCCCAACATATCAGACCTAGAAAGCCTTCTGAGGTCTGGATTCTCCCTTCCCCCTGTCCAGATCCCTTCAGCCCAGGATGTGGGCCTCTCCTGCACTTTGAAGGTGAGATCCTACATCCACTGTAAACATGTGGCAGGACTTGCAAGCTCAGTAGCCTAAAGACTGGCAGCTGGTTTCCGGGGAGGTGGGGCCTGGCCTCTTGGGGCCCTTGACATGCCACACTGTCCGCTCTCTCTAGTCAAGTATGCAAAGTGGCTTCCCAGCAGCAACAAAGTGGAGCAAGTCTTATCTGGGCCTCACCCTCAATGACAGGGGCTGGGTCCCTGTTGTCCCCCATGCACTGGCCTCGCTGCAGCCATGCCCAGAGCAGAAAGCCAGCCCCCAGGAGCACCCAGACCAGACAGGGCAGGGCAGGAAGGGACAAGACCAACACCCCTCGTGAGCAAGAGGTGACTCCATGCTCAGGTGGAATTCCATCCCCCTTAGCTCACCTCCCTGGAGCAAGGCACATTCCAGCAGAGCTGGCCTGTCCCAGTGGGGGGCCCGGTGTTCAAGCTGCCTGTCTGCTCTAGGCTCACTCCTCACTGTAGACAGGAGCTGCAGCACATCCTTCTCTGGGACCCACCAGAGTGACCCTGAACACTTCATGCTAAGGGTACAGCAAGGCCTCCATAGCTAGCAGGAAGGTACAATGTTATCGTGGGGACTGGGAGATACTGTCACCAGGACAAGGGATAGCAGAAGACACTGTAACATGAGGACCAGGAGAATGTTTCCTTCACAGTCCAGTGGGGTCCCAGGTTGTCTCTTTCCTGGTCACCTCCCAGACAGCCCCTCCCTCCACAGAGTCCTCCTGCCCTCTAACTCCTTCCCTGCACCCCTCAGAGGCCTGGTGTCCTTAGCAGTTCTCACGTTCCTCCCTCTGTGGTTCTTGGCTCCACATAGGCATTCTCCGAAGTTAGTCCAGTGCCAGAACCCTAGGTGTCACCACCGCTACACATCTAAGAGCCCTGCTGTGCTCCTCAAGTCCTGTCTCCTTTGTATAACCCAGTGAGGACACACTCCCGAACATAGCCCAAAGGCTTCTCATCATACTTCCCAAAGTCCTGGGGGTCCGCAACCGCTACCTGTATGGCCTCTCATTCCTCTCCACTCCGTGCCAGGGAAAGACAGGAACCCACACAAAGCACCCCATCGAGCTGCCCCTGGCTACTTCTGGTACTTTGGGCCTGTATTTGTCTCCGGCCTCCTCAGCAACCTCACCACCTGTTACCCGGCCTCAGACCAAGGAGCCCCGACTGCTGTCTTAGGATTTAACGTCTCCCCCTTCTAAACGCTGGGTATTAAATGCAGAGCGTTATGAATACAGAGACTCTATCACTGAGCCTGCTTCTGCTGACTGCCGTCTTCCTCAAATGCTTCTGCTTATCCCTCTAGGCCAAGCTAATGACCCCTTCCTCCTCTCAGCCACCTCCTGTAGCAGTTTCTGCCGCTGTGTCTGAGCATGGTTCTCCTACAATGTCAAAGGTTTTGCCCCTCTTTCTGACTCACACCAACTTCAGTGTCTTGAGGACATGAGAGATACTCCAGAGACACAAAGATTGCTGTGGGGATTTCAGGACCATACTCCAGTTGTCTCTCTCTCTCCAGTATGCTGTGATTTGAACCACCTGCCAGAACAAGTAAGCCTAGTATTCCACCATTCTCAGCAGAGTGGCCTGTGACATTAGTCTAGATATAATGTAGCCCCAACAGGTCAACAGGAGAGATTTCAATTTCCAGCTACCATCTACAGTTTCTGGCCTGCCTTTCTGTGACTACTTTCACCATAGCAGAGACCAAAGCACATCAGACCGCCATGCCCTGGCCACATAGCCTAGTTTGGGAGTGTGCTGAGGGCAGAAGCTTTATGCTTATCCTCCTCCTTTTTGGGGTACACAGTGGGTGCTCTTGTAGCAATAGCCTTTCAGGGGCCTGCAGGTGTGTGGGGTCTTTCTTTGGGCTCTTCTGCTCCTCTATTCTCTCATACCAGCTACTGACAAGCCCCAGAGCCTGTGGTCAGATTGAGTCTTGCCTCCACAAAGCAGTGTAATCATCAAGTCCATGATCCTTCCCAAGTCTCTCTACCCATTTCTATCCAACTGCTGTGGGCCTTTCCCTGCCAGCCATGTAGAGTCCAGTGTACCAGGGGAGTCCTGGGGAGGGGTGTGCTTTATAATCAGTAGTATCCTCTAGGATCCGGACATAAGCCAGGGTACCCAACTAACCTTCATATTCAGGATAATAGCTGCTTCCATGGGAAAACACCCCAAGGGTTCTGTGGTGGGTTGGATGAGAGTGGCTCCTATAGGCTCACATATTTGAATACTTAGTCACCAGGAAGTAGCACTATTTGAAAGGATTAGAAGGATTAGGAAGTGTGTCACTGGGGGTGAGCTTTGGGGTTTCAAAAGCCTATGCCAGGCCAAGTGTCTGTTTGTCTGTCTGTCTCTCCCTCCATCTCTCCTCCTTCCCTCTCCCTCTCCTGCCTCTCTTTGCCTACAGATCATGAGGTATCTCTCAGCTTGCTTCAGTGTACTGCCGTGCTCTCTGCCATAACGATAATGGACTAAACTGTAAGCAACTCACAATTAAATGCTTTCTTTCATAAGAGTTGCCTTGGGTCATGGCGTCTCTTCCCAGCAAATAGAACAATGACTAAGACAGGTCCTCATCAAAACAAGTGGGGAAAAAAATCCCTCCTTCTGTCCTCAGGCAGGCCCAGTCTGTGCTGCGTCCATACCCAAAGGTCTACTTGGATTTTGTTGTCTCTACAGCCTGTTTCCATGACATCTGCCCCTCTCTGCTCTGTAGTCAACATGCCTCTATCTAGCTGTCAGAGGCCCTGATCAATGTGTTCATGAGCAGAATGCCCACCTTCAGGCTCTGGAGTGCAGCTGTGAGGGATACCCGTACAGTGAGTTCCATGGTGAGAAAGCTATGCAACAAAGCCACATCCCACAAGAGATGAGGAAGGAACAAGAAGGGCATTTCTCTGAGGGTGGATATCATGGCTAAGACTTGGGCAAGGAGAAGACACATCAGAATATCCTGTCAGATTTGGGAACCCTACCCAGGAACCCACAACACCAGCCAGACTACACTATGCAACAGCCAGAGGTCTTATCCTTCTGGGCCTTCTCTTTGACTATAGCAGTGGAGAGGAAGGAACTGAGATGTCTACAGGATGACCCATCTGGACAGATAGTCCCTGAGACCATCCAATTTACCTGGATATCATTCTGAGACAGAGCAGGTCTTTTTCACTTACCAAGGCTGCTCAGAGGCTGTGACACACAGCATATGGCAGGGGCCTATGATGGGAGGGACACATGAAAGGGGGTACCCTCTCTCATTCTTCTGGATACAAGCCTGTCTATGCTCTCACAGTATGTAAGCCCCCACCACACTCCTGACTGGCTCCCTTTGGGTGCTGCAAGTGTATGCAACATGGACTCACGCCTGCCCTGGCTGAACACTGGGATAGTGGGTCTCAGATCCTAGAAGGGCTGCCTTCCCTTCTCACCTCAGCCCTGGCAGTACAGGAATGAATGGCCGAGCCAGACTGAGCTAAGGGGATCCTGCCACCGTCCCAGCACTGCAGCCATGTTCACATCTGCAGAAAACGCGAAAGCTATGGCCAGACATGCCTGGCTCCATCTGCCCCTTCCTTTGTTTCTTCACTTGTAAAGCATGGTTCCAGTGATACCAGCTTATGGGGACACTGTGAGCTGAAACACCCAGACCAGAAGACACATGATCCAGGGAGATCTGCTCCACCAGAACAAGACATTGCTTTGCCACTGTCACCAGGACTCAAACAGCGGACTCTTGCATCTGAGCCCTTCTGGGAACTGTCTTTATTCTTTGCTTCTTCCATTTTAAGAGCAGTTCTGAAGATGAAGTGATAGCACAGAAAACCAGAGACTTACACTTAAGGTCTGGCTATCCTGCTTTCAGAGCACACCCAGCTGCAATGTGCTAGTCAGGCCTGAGGATGGGCCCCAATCCCCACTTCACCCCAGTTCTGTGTCTGTGCACAGAGAAGGGCACAAACTCCTTCCCACTTCTAATCCTTCACAGGCCTTCCAGAACCCAGCCCAGCCTCAGCCCTCAACCAGGGACACTGCCCACTCAGGTAGCACTGACCTAAGTGTCCCTCAGTGCCTGATCAGGCTGCTGCCACATGAATATGTCTGGAGGGGGTTCCCAGCCTGCACTGTGGCCTTCCTGCATTTCAACAGTCATGGCTGGTCCTAACAGGACCTGCCTCCCTCTATTGCCCCAGCTCCTGGCTCCTTGTTTCGTTCTTTGGACTTTTAGTTCCATCTGCTTCTCCTCATGAACTGGGCCAGCCATTTCCCTTCCCTTCCCAGTAAGGATGCTGGAAACAGGAGAAATCCTGCCCTGCTCTTCTAGGACAGACTTAGATCTTGGTTGAGGAGACAGGAAACGGGTAGCTGCTCTGAGAGCTGGTCCATGTGGCTGCCTCCTGCAACTGCCTCAGTCCTTCCCCAGAGTCAGTTTATCCAGCTGGCACTGGAGCCCTGGAGAAGCACTCACAAGCCTCCCTCTTCCCTTCTTGAATGAGAAGCACCCATTTTGTTTTTGTGAAGATTCAGCATTCAGCCAATGAGCTTCATCTCATACACCCATGCCACCAGAGTGGAGCAGAAGGAAGCTAAGTGCAGAGCTGGGCTTTCCCAGACCCCACCCCTGTCACCAAAGACCTCACTGCAGTGTCCTCCCTGCTGCCTACCTTCCGGCCCGCCTCGTTATTGTGTAAGTTCATGAGGGTCCGGGCATTCTGCTTGATCTCCCGGGCATCCACGAAGACCTTGGCGAAGCCGATGCCGTAGCGGATGTCGGCAGAGCAGCCACCCCACTTCCAGCCCTCGTCCCGGTGGTACTGGCCTTGCTTCTCCTTGTCGCAGCCACAGTCGCTCAGGTTGCCCTGGGTGCAGGCAGCTGTGATGGCATGGGCCACACCCGCGGCAATGATTGCATAGGTGAAGGCAGCCTCCCGGCTCCCTGGGGGCAGAAGAGTGGAGAGAGCTTTGTAAGAGCTGATCTGGGGAGACCCTCCCATAAAGGCAGCTAGGGAGGAGGTAGGATCTGGCTCAGGAGAGACGCTGAGCACAGTGCAGCGGCTCAGTGTAGGGAGCTCCTTAGGGTGACGACAATGCCTGGGGCCCCAATCAAGTTCACCCTCACTTTCCTGCAGTCCCTGACACTCAGGAAAGCTGGACTGGGGAGGGAGGGGTTGAGGAGCTTCTATCCCATTTTCACCCGCTGCCTCTCCCAACACACCTGAAAGGATCATGTCACCTGTATGTGTTTGCATCACGGAAAAGCAACATTTATAGAACACCTGTGGGGTGCATGGCTGAAAGCTGAAGCTGGGGCTGTTAATCCCCGACCCTTTGACTCGACCAGTGTCACACCTGTCCTGTACTTTAGTCTCCTCAACTGTGGCAGTGACTAGAAGGGTCAAGAGTTTGTCTTCAAAGCTCTAGCCAATGCTCAGAAAGTAGCACCTATGGGAACAGTATCGCTGGCTCTCATGGTCACTGTTGATAGATATTACAGTGTGGTGCACTGTTTTTATATATCTGTCCTCTGCCCTCTCCATGGCCTGCTTGTTCCACTGTAAGCAGTAGAGGAGTCTGAGCACCAAGATGTAGCCAATAGATATGCTGAGTGGGTACAAGCTTCTCTGAGCCTCAGTCTCCCCTCTGCCAATTAGGTTCAAGTGTGCACTGCAGGGTCAAGGAGAACAGGACTTGCCTGTGATGATCCCTGAATGAGCACTGGGGCACTGAGGAAGGAGCTGAAGCTGGAGCCGATACACAGGTGGGGACCCACCTCAGAAGGATGTGTTCTGGCAGGACAGAGATGGCAAGGGGCTGCTGGGGAGACAGGAAGTGGTGAGAAGCCTGCAAGTAATCAGACCATTCACTCAAGCATCTTGGCCTCCACCTGGATCTCCCTCCAACCTGCTTCACACACCACCTGTCCTGACACCAATCATTTTGGTCTGGTGCCTTGCTTGGCTGGACAGAGCCAGTATTGCTCTGATTTTCACAAAACCTACCCACAGCATCCATATCTAGATAGGCTTATGTCTGGTTTCATGTCTGCCACTTGTTGACTGCTGTGGGAGAGTCCCTCTTCTCCAAGACTCCGATCTCTTTAGCTGTGAGCCTGGGATAATGCCAGTGCCTACCTAGGAGGGATGGAAGGGGATTTTGTCTGCCTTTCATGAGGGTCATGCAAAATGTTTAGCCCAAAACTGGGGTCCTCAGAGTGGAGCCCCAGTCCTTCCTCAAAATGGCAGCTCAATCCTGTGGCTTGCCAAAGACACTTGAGGCACTTGCTGAGTTCCCCAGGACCCTAATAGAGAGGCAAGGAGAAAGCCTCCCAACTTGCGCACTAACTCACTGCAGAAAACCAAACACACAAGAAACAAAACTCTAAGAGAAGTGCTGATATCAATGTCAACCCCTGAAGCGCTTTGGAGAAAGGGGCAATCAGAGGTGACTGCATTCCACTGCTTTCTCGCTGTGTGACTCCAGGTGAAGCACCTGTCTCTCTGTGACCAACCCCTCCACTGTTAAAGGATTATAACAGCACCTGATTTCCTATGGAGGTTGTGAGGGACAGAAAAGACCAGCAATGCTAAAGCAGGAAAAAAAGCATTGCAGACATTAGCCATTACAGCATTTATGGGGGAAAAGACTAGCTGGTCTTCACAGAACTGAAGGGGAAGGAGGCAGCTCTTCATTTACTTTTGCCTACATTTGATGAAGCCAGGAGCGCAGTCTGGCTCATCTGAGACACCCAGAGCAGACCTTTCACACCTGCCCCAGGCTACCCAAGAGCTGCATTGGGATTAAATCACTTCAGGAGACAGTGATGGTCATTGTTGTTAGACTCTAGCAGGTGGAAGGAACTATGTTCCCTTAACCAGACCTAAAGCACAATATGCCAACTGAAGGAAGAACAGGAGCCCCAGCCCCTCAGCCTTACCCTTCTCAGGCTTCTCCCTGTGCACTGGGGCCCTGTGAGCCCTTATCCTTCCTGTGGTAGCTTTTTGCTTCCACCCAGCTTGTAATCATCCCATTTTTCTTGAGTCTACTGAGCCACAGAGTGACGTAGGAGGTGAGCGATCATCAGTTACTGAAGACAATGGCTACACTGAAGGAAGGACGGCCATGCTTCTAGTTCAAGGTGTACCTTGCCATCATGGAGTCTGACTCTGGGACAAGTCAGCCCTTAGTGCCTACTTCTCTGAGAAGCAAGGAGGGAGAGCTACCCTCCCTTAGAACCGGTGCCACCAGGGCTGGGTGGTCTGTACCCATGCCCAACCCTCTGGGATTCTAAGAGCTCCTCTTGATAGAATGACACAGATCCAAAGATGTCTTCAACCTGCCGGAGGCTGGGTGACCTCAGGAAAGTCGCTTAACGTTGTCTATTCCTGTCTCTATAACTATCTCTAATCCACCCAGGTTAGGCATCACTTAGCCCATAGCACATACTTCAGTAAAGGATCAAGAGTAACACAAAGTTTGTAATTGATGAAATCATGGGCTGTTAGGAATGTGCCAAGACCCCCTCCCTGGCTCTCCCCTTAGTTTCCTTATAGCCCTTCTCACTCTATCTGTTCCAGGCCTCTCATCTCCACTGTTCCTAGAGAATATAATTTCCTTCAGTGTAGCAACCCATCACCAATGTCTGCCTGGTGACAGAGGAACGGAGTGCAGCTACGACAGGAGCAGCAGCCTCGGGGTATATCACAACACTTGAGAAAAGGATAGCTGCCCACCCTCAAGAGCAGCCCCTCATCTGGAGAGATGGCTAAGGAGTCAAGAGTGCTTGTTGCTCTTGCAGAACCTGGGTTCTGTTCCTACCACTCACAGCCACTTGTACCTCCAGGTCCAGCAGATCTGATGAGCTCCACAGGCACCAAGCACGCACATGGTGCTCATACATGCATGCAGGTAAAAAAATAAATAAACAGCTCAACAAGTGAGCTAATGACAGTACCCCAGTCTGCAGATGAAGAGACTGAGGCTAGGAATGTCTGACGAGGCAGGGGTGGAGCCCATGGTGAACAGGCTGCCTGGCTCTCAGCCCATTCTGCCTACAACTAGGGAGCCAACAGTCAGCCCTGGGTTCTGCAGACTTGGAGGGACAAAAGTGGACAAGGAGTAACATTTGTTGTGTACTTACTAGGTGCCAGACTTTTACTTAGGTCTCTGGGATATATTTTGCAACAGCTCCAAGGTAAGACAACATCCGATTTTACTGGCAAAGAAGGCTTTCCACCTTGATAGACTGGGGTGAGAACTGTGAGTCAAGGCTTTTGTTAGACAGCATTGTCCCTTAGCCTTGCCTCACCATCTGCCTTGTGACTGCATCTAAAACCTGTGGTTAGAGAGGGAGGCATCAGCTCTTCCTAGAATGCATTATTTCTGTCAAGAAAGGACATCTAGTTATCAGTAAATACTTGCCAACAAAGTGTTTGGTCAGGCCCTTGTGCCCTAAGAAGGAAATAGGATGACAGCAGATCCAGCAGGGAAGGGTCCTGGATCCCTAAGTCCCTTTCTCAAGAAGCCACCCAACGCTCTACCCATACGTGGCCTCTCCTCTTCCTTGAATTAAGGGTAGAAGGTAGAGGCTAAGAGAGAAATACCGATGTCACAGGCACAGGTATAGGCAGAAGCAAATTGAGTCACATGGTGTCCCTATTTGTGACCTGGACCATTCCCAAATCTTGATGGTCCACACTCTTCCCAGCACAGCCTGGAGAAGCCCTCACTGGAACACTTATTGAGAGCATCTCATTGTGCTCGCAGGATATCTGCAAAGAAGTTCTGAGTGGTTCCTTCAGCTTCCAAAACAATGGTGGATGGTGCCGGATGGCACCACATTCATACAGATTGTGCCAAGTCTTTAGAAATGAGCTGTTGGCTAGGCTGTGTCCTGAACACCTTGCTGTGGCTGATGAATTAAGGCAACCAATCTGTGAGGGGCAAGCTGACCTTGTTCAACCCTTCACAAAGGCAGAGCCCAAACAAAGGGTCCAGAAAACAACCCACTTTCCTCTAGCTCATGGTTCTTATTCCAGCCCACCAATTCACAGCCCACCTCTCCACCAAATCTTCCACATGATTGGTAAGTGGATGCCAGCTCAGCTGAAGCAGGCTGTGCCCCTGTGGTGATGAGAAGTCTTCATCCAAATCTTAGCCTCTGTCAAGCATGCACCCAATCTCAGCCCTCAGTGAACATTTTCTGAGCACCTACTGTGTGCTAGGCACTGTGCTGCAAGCTGGAGGAACTAAGATATGGGATTCAGGGGTGGCCCTGAATTGCAGGGAGACAGACAGCAGATTACAACACTCTGTTAGTTGAGGACTCCAAAGAAACAAAACAGCATGGTGATGGGAGCTGGGGGTGTCAGAATTTGAAGGGTCAGTAGGGAGAGGAGTCTCCAGGACAGGGGCACCTAGATCAATGTTCCTGGCTGGTGTGAGGTACCTGACATGGATGAGGAGAAGAGGGGACTGAGAGGGAGACACTGAGTATCAGGACCCTATCTTGGACAGAGCCTTCTGTCCCTAGAGTCAAAGAACAGATCCCAGAGCCACAGACAGAAGGAAGGCCTGCCTGGGGTCACCAAAGACTCCAGACACTAAACTCATACCAGTTTCCAGACCCCCAGTGAGGAATCTATTCCCTCCCCTTCACCTTACCCTCAAACATTATTAGCCACATATCAAGGTTTTCAACACAGAAGTCGGGGAAACCAACCCCAGGTGTCTTTAGCTCAGGCTGGGTGAGAGGGCACATGCCATCCACTCCCACTCTGCCTCTCACTCAGGTGGGTGACTCTGAGCCCATACTCTGAGTCCCCGAGCCTCAGTATTCCCATCTGCAAACAGAACCCAGGAGCCCCCTCCTCCAGGCTTCCCTGAAGACCAGTGAAGTTTCTCAGGAGCCTCTAGGAGAGTGTTAATGGGGTGGGGAGG